GAGCGCTCTACCACTTGAGCTACAGCGCCACTTCCAGTTTTCTGGTGGTTTATTGGAGATAAGAGTCTTGAGGTCTCTCCTGCCCGGGCTGGCTTTGAACCATGATCCTCAGATCTCAGCCTCCTGAGTAGCTAGGATTACAGGCGTGAGGCACCAGCGCCTGGCTTCATATACTTTTAAAGTGGTTGTTTTGTTCAGTTTTCAAAACCAATATTGTGAGGTAAAATCAACTATTAAAAAAATAAAGGCGGGCTAGAGGTGTGGTTCAGTGGTGGTATGATATTTAATTTTTTTTAAATGATATATCATTTGAACTTTCTGATTAATCAAAGTCACATATTTCCATCTCATGGGATAACAATTCTTGCATATATATTTTCATCTGATGCCTCCTAGTTTACTAATCCCCTCTTACTTTCTCTGCCACTTAGTTGTGTGACCCTAAGGTAATTCTCTCAGCCTCAGTTTACTTATGAAATTAAGATTACCCTTTAGAGTCTCTTGTTTGGCAGTGCTTGATAGCCAAATTGATAACTAAATTTTCTTTTTGGTGTTGATCCATGTGGATTTTCTGTAAATGATAGAAATTCCATTTTTGTATATATTTATTTAATACTGAGAGCCTTACCCACTAAGCTCTAAACATTCTTATGCCATGAGAATGGTGGTCCTTGTCCTTGAGTTTAAAGTTTTCAAATCTTAGAATATTCTTTTATATTTGGGCATTATTGGCAAATTATTTTAAGTTGTATGTGGATGTCAGGGAGTTTTTATATTTGTTGTTTTGTCTTGGGGTGAGTTATTTCTAAGTAATTTGCAATTCTTGTGTGTGTGTGTCCATTTACACACATACATGCCAGTACTAGGGCTAGAACTCAGGGCCTGGGCACTGTCCATTAGATTTTTTTTGCTCAAGGCTAGTATTCTACCATGTGAGCCATACTTCTACCTTACACCGCTACCCCCCCCCCCTCCCCGCCAACACCCCCCTGGTTAATTGGAGATAGTGTCAAACTTTCCTGCCCAGGCTGGCTTTAAACTGCAATTAGGGAATGGTTGGTGAATTAGACATCTTCACCCATTAGACTAGGTATAGAACCATTACAGAACAATGTGTGCAATTGACTCTTCATGTAGAATGTGCCCCAGTTTGCATGCAAGTGACTTAGCAAGGTAGAGTATAAGCTGACCTCAGTTCACACACACTAAAAGATGTGGTTTCTTTATGTATTTGTTTTCCTGTTAGGATCAATTTAGCATGGTATTTTTTTACTCTTTTTATTAGCATACATTACTTACAGGGTGTATTCTATTGTGACATTTCTACTCAGATATACGCTGTATTCCACTTAGTGTTACTCCTTCTAATACACTCCCGTCTCCTTCCTAAAACAGTTTTAACAGATCATTGTTGTGTTTTTATAAATGCCATCTACTTTTACCATATTCATCCTCATTTACCCTCCATATTTGCACAACCCCAAGTACCCTCTCCCAGTACAGCCGGTTTCTCCTTCCCCACGCAACCCTCTGTTGATAAGCAGCTTTCATTGAAGTTCTTTATGCTAAATCCATATACAGTTGCAATGTATTTACTCACTTCCTAACAAAGATATGTTTTGAAGTACAAGTTTGTAGTTAATATTGCTCTTGATTTCTAATGAAATCTAGACTAGCCCAAAACTTTGCTTATCAGTGTAAGGTTATTTTTGAATTAATAATATTAGCTATGGATTCTGGGTGATGGAAGAATATTCTTCCCTCCTTTTGGAAAAAGGACACATTTTTGGCAAAATTTTGAATTATATAAATATAATTGTCCTTTCAGCTCCTCCTTATACTTCCGTATGATACTGTTTCCTATTCTTTCTAGTTTCTATAAATCTTTTTCCCTATCTCCTGTAGTTCATCTAAACATCAGATATTTTAAGAGTGTTAGTCTCTTCTTTAAAGGAAACAACCATTATGTCAAACCAATATGTTGAAAGAGAGCAGTTGAATTGGATTAATTCATACTGACAATTCCACAAACCTTTCTGGGGAAAAAGTTAGAAAGTGTGTGTGTGTGTGTGTGTGTGTGTGTGTGTGTGTGTGTGTGTGTGTGTGTGTGTGTGTGTGTGTGTGTGTGTTATTTTTAGTTTTAATCCAAGTATGTCTTTGCTGATATTTCAGGCAAAAGACTTGAAGATCACCGAAGGGATTTTTCTTGCTTTTTCTACTGTAGTGTATAGCTTCTCAGAGGAGATGAGGGGGATCCCATCCTGCATAGTAAAGTAGCCCGTGTGAGTTAGAGAGCTGCATTCTCACTATAGTGCAGAGGCACCATACAATTGTTTTGTGCTAGGGGTATGGGATTACACTACAGGGTGTAGAAAATATGTCAGTGGTCTGGCTATAAGCTCTAAGTCATCTCTTCTTGATGTATATGAAAGACAAAATGGGCAAACAAAAGGTATTTGAAAGGTATTACTGCATAAACTACAAAAAGGCAGATAGTAAGTTGCAGAGATATTCTTTAACAAATGCAAGCAATAAATTCGTTTTGTGAATATAGAAGAGAAAGGAATAAAACATTTACTGGCACCTACTGTATTCTAGTTATACTCACTGTTGCTTTTCACATTTTCCACCAAACTGAACTTGTACAGTTGAACACAGTATACTTTTAAAATTCATTTCATGTTGTGTTTAACTTTAGTTTCTTTTTTTCTTTTTTTTCTGGGTCCGGTCGTGGGGCCTGAACTCTGGGCCTGGGCGCTGTCCCTCAGCTCTTCAGCTCAAGGCTAGCGCTCTACCACTTAAGCCACAGCGCCACTTCCGGCTTTTTTCTTTTTTGCTTATGTGGTGCTGAGGAATCAAACCCAGGACCTCATGCATGCAAGGCAAACGCTCTACCACTGAGCCACCTTCCCAGCCCTAACTCTAGTTTCTTGTATGGGAGGCAGGAAATGTTTCTTTTTTGATTTTTCCCTTCTTTAGCCCTGTTTTACCAAAATCCTTTTAAAACCTTCAAAAATGCATTTGGAATTTGCGTTCTCCAGAATGGGAGGAGCTGTAATAGTCTCTTAGGCACTCACTGGCACTCACTGGCAGTGTGAAAGTTTCTCCTCCAGCTTCCAACATATTTTGTGATTGTTTAAAACAGAGAAATAACAGTATAAGTAGAGTGCGCTTTAAGTTTTTGTTTTTGTTTTTAAATACTGACTGTCAGAGACTCAACACCTGTAATCCTAGCTACTCAGGAGGCTGATATCTGAGGATCAGAGTTTGAAGCCAGGCTGGGCAGGAGAGTCTGTAAGACTCTTATCTCCAATTAACCAGTACTAAGCTGGAAGTGGAGCTGTGGTGCAAGTGGCAGAGCACTAGCCTTGAGCAAAAAAAAATCTCAGGGACAGCACCCAGACCCTGAGTTCATGCTCCAGGCCCACTTCTCCACACCCCACGCCACCCCCAAGTTTAATTTTAGCTTTAATGTTGTGGAAAAGTAAATAGACATTTTAAAAATCAGATGTGATATGCTTAAAGACAGGTGCTAAAGAAAAGCAAATAATGGGAGGACACCCTCGAGAACTCTCCTTATAGATATCTATCTAGTGAACTCAATGTATCTGTTGATGCTTGATTTTTAAACACACAGCCTTTGACAACAGTTACTGGTCTCTTTTCTCCTTTTTTACTACTGAAAACAAGGCATTCACTACCACCTACCACACAATTCCCTCAATGCATGTACAACTCATCCATAATGCATAGGAATAGCCAAGAGCTCAGATCTTAGGGTCAAGCAAGATCTGGTTTTAAATTCTGACTCCAAATTATTAATATGCCATTGCATAAAATGTGCCTTAGATCTCTGTAAGTCAGTTTCTTTATTCGTCAAAAGAGTATTAATCCCTGATTTGTTTTTTTAATCTTCCCCTGAATTACCTTTAATGATAAGCATATAATTTCGTTCGAAATTCCTGAAATGTACTGAGCAAACATGTTCAAAGACACATGTATAACTGGGAGGCACAGAGAGATGCATTAAATTTATTTGAAAATACAAAGTAATTCTACAGTTTACAAAGCCCATTTTTGACGATCTGTATGCTAAGTAACAGAATATTTTCTTTCTGAGTTGTGATTTTGATGGGAGGATATTTATTGCATAATCAGTAGAATTTTAATCTGTCCATTTGATTAGTATGAAAAGACTTACAGACAATGAATATCCATACTCTCAAAGATAATTCCGCACATACCACCCTACTTTGGAACTTACACTGTTGCTGTGTTTTAAGTAGGACTTTCTCTTGACAGTGTTAATAACTGGAAAATTTCCTATCAGTAGACTAGCACCATCTTGACAGCCTACCTTGCTAATTGTTTCATAGGGATTATTTGGATTGTGTAGAAAGCTTTTTGCAAATCTTCTTATTACTGAAGTCATTGTTGCCAGCAGGAATAAGATTAAAGGTGCTTAAGTCTGTAGAGTTGTTTCTAATTTGTACATGTCATTTTAGTGGCATTCTATGAAAACTCTGTCTGCTGTCCATCCCTTCTCCCCTGGTACAGTCTCAAGTTAGGTCCAAGAAGCCTGGCCATTGGAAGAAATCTCATTTTATCCTCCTAATTATTATGCTGGCACTCCGGAGATAATTTTTCCCTTCTTGCACTGCCAATTAATATGCAAATAAGCTGATAAATATTTATGTAATGATTTAAATTATGCAGGGAGTGCTTTCAGTGTATTCTGTAAATGAATTGTTCATGGACTTCAAAGTGCTGGCTGCTGTGCTAACGAGGAGAGATTTGCATAAGGCCCTAATCACGCGCATACTGATTAAGCTTCATTATGGAAACTGCCAGCTGCAATCTTTGTTTCTATTTTATTACAAAAAGGGGAACTTTTCATGCTTCAGTTGCCTTGACAATGTCAGTCCTAGCTGGTAGGAGAGACTAAAACTCCTGTGAGCAACTGAAGTTTCCTTATTCAGTTGAAGATTGCTATGGTGTAACTGAAGTTGTATTTTGTGTCTCTTGTTAATTCACTTTCCACTTCCTCCACCCTGTTCTCTTAAGAACAAAGTACAGATTTGTTAGAAATAGTAGTACCTTCCTACCCCCACCCCAGACTGCTAACCTGTTTCTTCCCTACTTTGGACTGTCCGCACCTCTAGAAGATTTCACAGCAATGCTGGACTGCAGTGACTATGTTCTAGGTGGGTACCAGCACAGTTCTTTTCTTAGAAGCTTTAATATGGAAATAGTGGGTGTGGGGTTGACTATGCATAAATGCTTAATCACATATGCAACCAGTGAGGGGAGTGGGTTGAGCAGGGAAGGAGGGAAGCATTTGCAAAGCACAAGCATACTTGAGCTTGCTGTAGGTTCCTCCCTAGGACTAGCTCTTCTGGTTCAGCGTGTGTTATTTTCAGTAAATGCTGTGGATTTAGAATTTAGCTTGAATGGAGGGCTTTTTTGTGTTTTGGAAATTTCTGTGGAAAAAAAAATTTTTAATGTAGTTCTAATAGCATTTTAAATCAGAACCAAGATATAAACTACTTAAATAACATGTGCATATTAATAAAAATACTTTGCATACATAATGAGAATGTAGCGTATGAAAAATGTTCAATGAAAGGTAAGGTGGAAACAAGCTACAGAATTGTTTGCCTAAATATTAATACAGCAGGTGACTGCTGTGCTTTCTGTGCCAAATCTGTACTGGATTACTGTTTGCAAATTTTGTGTATTATCCTTTCTTTTTATTTTTTAAAACCAATTTTGTTCCTTGCATTTTTGGGAACACTATATTTTTAGAGTTTTCCCTATAGAACAGCAAGTTTTTTCAGGAGGGAGGTGTTTTACTTAAATATTTAAGCCATCTTTAGTGACTGAGATTTAAAATAGATTGTAAATTAAGGTGCCTTGATACTTAAAAATATGGTGACCGTATTTCATATGGAGTTTTGTTTACATGTACAATAACTGAAACCTTTTTGGGATAACAGGGAAGTCAGATGATATGCACTCTAATAACTGGGAGATTTTAAGTTTAAAACTTTTGCACATGATTTTTTTCCTATGTACTATTTTCCGTTCTTGAAATCTGAAGCTATTTCTAACACCTTAACAGTTGTCAAGGATAAAGTAAATTAAAGTAAATTACTTCAGGAAATGATTGAATTCTTAGCAGAAAGCATGGCCTAAACCATCAGTGTAAAAACCACTGCCTAAAGGGTACATGGCACAAACTACAGGTTGATGTCGAGTTGAGTCAAATTGCAACTTTAAACTGAGTATCAGGTTCATTATGTTTAGTCAGACCTACTTTTAAAAAAAATACTGCTTAGAGAGAAAAATACTTTAAATATCAAACAAGAATCTACTTGTATTTTCTCTTTCACATTTCCTAAGTTGGGAACTCAAGAAATTAAAGGAAAATAGCTTTTTAAAATATTCTAGCATTATTTTCAAAGTTAGAAATTATGTTGTTACTTTCAGTTAGCAGGGAATATTATTGAAACACTTGTCATCATTGTTGCACAGCTAATCAGAATCTTACTGTTGGTTCCTTTTTTAAAAAACTGAATTTGTTGTTATTAAGGGGTTGTACAGAGGGATTACCATTTCATAAATCAGTAATGAGTGCATTTCTTTTTTTGGATAAGGTCACCCCTTCCTTCGCTTTCCTCTAGTTCTTCCTCCCATCTCTTTCCACAAGTTACATAGCTCATTTTCCACATAGCGTATACTGGTAGTATTCCCTTTTTGTGTGTTTGATGTAATTTCATTAAATACGCTTAAAGCTCTTAACAGTTTCAGTAGGATATCCTTAGGATATTAACAAGAAATACCTATGACATAAATTTTAATTCATAGATATGGAGATAGGAATCATACAAGATCATGATCTTTGACTTGTTATGAATTTCTTTTTTGTTTCTCTGGTGCCTGTGTATATGGGGAATTGTTACCTCTTATGAATGTTGCTGGTTTATCATATTTCTTCCTTTCCTTGAAAACTGTATATGGTTAAACTTTTATCATGCTCTTTGTTAGCTTTACTAAGATTTTGGTTAAGTCATTCAGAAAGCTGATTTTCACTAAGTTGTACACCTGTTCCTTTCAAGCCTTAGTATACTTTCAGATGGTATTTAAATTTTTCTGGACAGTGCGGGAAGGAAGTGATAGGGTTGCCCTCATTTATGACCACAAGCATACAACTTTTAAGACTTTGCACACCTGAGGAACAAACTAAACATGGGACAGAACTGTCTAAGCCCAGAAGATAAGAATCAGTTATAAAATTTTTTATTCTATTAGGAAATTGTTATGCAGTTTTTACATTTGAAACAAACTGATTTTCTTTTCCCCAGCCCTTAACTGCATGTGGATAATGCACCTATGGACAGTGCAGTTTAGACTTCTAATGATATTTTTATTGCCAACTTAAAACTTTCCTGTAGATAACAAAATGCACTTTTTGGTCAGAAAGTTGGGTACAATATTGTTTTAGGTATTTGTTCTCTACTAATAACTATAGTTAAAAATTTTTAACTCAGTAAAAAGGAAAAGGATTATTGGATTATAAGTGTCATAAGTTAGAGTTTGCAGTAGATATAGAATCAAGGTTACATTTAATATTTATTCTATTTTCACTCTTAAGATTTAAGGAGAGGTAGAGGAAGAGCAGTGTTACTTGTGTCTTATCTTACTTATTTTCTGGGTTAGCTAATATAGCTTGATGATCACTTCTTTACTGTAAAAAACAACCCGTGATTGATTGGATAAACTAAAAGAAGTAAAACCCAATTAAATGAATTCATTTGAGGATTGAAGGTAATAAACTTTTTTAAGTATTTTTTAAGTGATTGTATCAACATTCTCATGTTGACTTGTTCAGTTTGGTTAAGGAGGGGAGTTAATGTGGTAGTATTTTTTTTGGTATTTTCTTTTAGTCTACTTTAATTGTTATTTTGTTATAATGAATTTTTACAGAAAATTTTTCATTTGGGAATAACTTTTCTTACCTTTTGAGGTCCTTCCCCCTCCCCAATTTTATGTCTTTAATGTATTTGATACTTAACATGGTAATGCATTTACTCTTTCTAACCTATTAGATTTATATATTTATATGTTTCTCTTTTTATCTTATTATCTTTAAATAGCTGTACAAAGGAGTTTCCATTTAACAAAACAGTTTATGAATACAGTATATCTTGATCAATGTTACCCCTTTCAACATTCTCACCCATCCCTCCCAACCTACCCCTTCCCTCTATTTTTCTTAATTTACATTTTTTTCACTCTTAGAGTTCTGTATTTCTTAGGAGAATCCTATATATTTAGAAAGATAATTTACTTGTACCTACCTTCCAAGATCCTGAATTTTTTAGGTAATATAATTTGTAACATATTAGCAGGACACATATATACCATCTCTTTGAACTGTATGCCTATGATACTAATTAACCCTTTCCTCTGCCAGTTTTATCCCTTTAACATCTTCTTCAACTTTCGTGATTTAAACATTATCCACTTTGACTTATTGTAGATTCAAGAATGAACAATCCGTCAGAAACCAGTAAACCATCTATGGAGAGTGGAGATAGCAGCACAGGTAAGAGAAAGCTCTTCAGTCCAGCTTTTTAGTTAAATCTAATAGAACTGAAAGGTGAAACTTTCCATTTAACTTGGGCACATACTTGGCAGATGCAGAGAAGCTTGCATATTACATGGTCAAATATGGTTTATACATGTGGGAGCTGGGATTGTATTTATGTAATATTATATAACTTTCTTCTGTAGATTGCTTCTTTTTCTGCTTCCTCTAACAGAAACTAGAGTAGTCATGGGAATAGTTCTTTGGGACAGTATAATAGACTTGTTCCCATCATAGAACATGATTGGTTGAGACAGTTACTTTCTAATTCCTCCAAAAGGGTGATTTGGGAACTCAGAATTGGCACTTGTTAGACTTCTTTTCTTCTATCACTAACAGTGACAGTTGCTTTTTCTCTTTTCTCCACATAGAGCGTTTTTTTAAACTTTTTTATGAAATCTACTGATGAAAGCAAACATCCTAACTATAAAGCATAGTAGCTCAATCCTGTTTGTCAGCTGCACAGGTTGATGTGGCTAATTTACAGATTCTATCTTATAGACCTTTACATTCACTTAATAACCGAAACGTCAGTTTCATAAATACTAAGGGTCTGGGACTGGGGTGTATCTCAGTGGCAAAGTATTTGCTTTGCAAGTACAATGTCTTGTGTTCAATTCCCACTACCCAAAATAAAAACACAAGGAAAAAAAAAACAGTAAAAGAAATCAAATATTAAGGATTTCCCATTGTATTCTTAGTACCTCCTACTAATGTCAATTTGTTAGTTTAGAAATACAGAAGATGTTAGACTTCTGGGTTACATGTTGTCATGTTTGATATACCAGAAATAAATGATAATTTGTTTAAATAAAACAGCCCTGTGTATTAACTTTTTTGTTTAAAAACTAGTAAGCTTATAAACTGCCCCTTTTTCTTTGTTATGTTTTTTATTTGCTTATTAAAAATTAACGAAAAAGAACTCTAGCTTATAATAAAACTGAAGACTCAACATTTTCCAGATTCAAAATAATTTTTTATTGATCATTTTGTGAGATAGCAATGATTATAATAATTTTTATTTGTAAAATTATAAGGAGAATGATATTGTAAAAGTATAAATTTTTTGCCTCCTACCAGATTTATTTAAGCCAAATCCTTTTTTGTTAAACACCCTCAGAAGTTTACAGAAAACCTGTAGTTCAGATTTGCTTTTCAGTATGTAAGATATTGTAGTTGGGGTTATTAGATTTAGTGAAAACCCCTAATCTTCAAGGAGTTAACAATCCATTAAAACAAAAGATGCACAAATAAGTGATTCTGGATGGGTGATGATAAATACTCCAAGAGCTAAATCAGAAAAATACCTTACTTAGTGCTGTTAAGTAGGTATTCTTTGAGGTAGTTTGAATCTATTTGTAGAATGAGTGAAGGACAAAAAGAAAAAAGTAGAACTGAAGTAGAAGACAAAGGCTAGGATTAAAACATATAAAGGATAAAAGATTAAGTTGTCTCTAGTATGCAGTGTAGCCACTGTATGCAATAAGAAAAGGAAAATCAAATACAATAGTGATTTGTCTTCAATATTGTATTTTGCATTTGGAGCACTGTTGGTTCATGCCTGTATTTCTAGTTCCTGGGAGACTAAGAAAAGGAGGATCACTTTTCATGGCCAGCCTGGGCAGAAAAGTGTACGAAGACCCATTCTCAACCCATAGCAGGGTATAGTGGTATATACCTGTCACCTTAGATCTGTGAGATGCTACAAGTAGTAGGATTATGGCTTCAGGCCTGCCTAGGCAGAAAAATCGGTGAGACTCCATCTCAGTGTAAGAAGCTGGGCCCGGTTGCATGTGTCTGTCATCACAGCTATGAATAGAACCTTTTAAAGAGGTGGATCATGCCAGAACAGGAAGCAAGACCCTATCTCAAAAATAACCAATGTAGCCGGGCATTGTGGCTCATGCCTGTAATCTTAGCTATTCAAGAGGCTGAGATGTGAGGATTGAGGTTCAAAGCCAGCCCGGGAAGGAAAGTCCATGAGACTCTTATATCCAATAAACCACTCAGAAAACTGGAAGTAGCGCTGTGGCTCAGGTGGTAGACTGCTAGCCTTGAGCTGAAGAGCTGAAGGACAGCGCCCAGGCCCAGAGTTCAAGCCCTACAACCAACCAAATAAATAAATTAATAACCAACGTAAAATAGGGCTGGAGGTGTAGCTCAAGTGGTAGAATACCTGCCTAGGAAACACGAAGACCCTGAATTAAAATCCTAGTACTGAGGGGGAAAAAATATATCTTGCAGAAAGAAAAATGCATGAGAATTCAATTTAGAGAGAAATTATTTTTAGTTGGATCATGGAAAACTTTGGAAGGTAGAACTTAGACTGTCTTCTGAAGACTCTAGAGCATATCAGTGTGATGGTGGTGGTCACAACACTCAGCATGAAGGTAACATTGGAGGTAACATTTTAAATAAAATTTTTCTAATATTTGTTTTGGAACATTAAAACTTAACTTTCTTTTGAGGGGATGCCTGTATTAGGGCTTCAACTCATGGCTTTGCACTTTTTTTTTTTGGTTGGTCGTGGGGCTTGAACTATGGGCTTGGGTGCTGTCCCTGCGCTGTTCAGCTCAAGGTGAGCGCTCTACCACTTGAGCCACAGTACCACTTCTGGTTTTCTAGAAGCTTTTATTGGAGATAAGAGTCTCATGGACTTTCCTGCCCGGGCTCGCTTTGAACCGCGATCCTCAGATCTCAGCCTCCTGAGTAGCTAGGATTACAGGTGTGAGCCACCAGCGCCCAGCTTGGCTTTGCACTCTTGCTTAGCTTTTATGCTAAAGCTGGTGCTCTAACACTTGAGTCATACCTCCACTTCTGGCTTTTTGCTGGTTGATTGGAGATAATAATCTTCCAGATTTGTCTGCCCAGGCTGAATTGTAACTACAATTCTTAGATCTCAGTTTCCTGAGTAGCTAAGATTATAAATATAAGGCACTTGCCTCATTAAACTTATTTTCTTTTAAAGAAATAAACTTATGTGTTGATTCATTGAATTTGTAGTTAACTGTCTTTTTTATTACCTGAACTACTTACTATATCTAAAACTCTTCTAACCTTGTCACTTTCATATCATTTTTCATTCAAGTGACCTCCCCCTCCAATAACACCAACATTTTTCTGACAAATTAAAACTCTAAGCAATCTAATGTCCATTTATAAAGTTGCATTTTCCAATATCATTATGATAAGTTCCAGGTAATGTACTATTAATGAGAGCCATCACTGGGTTAGTCAGAAAGAGATGACTAAACATCATTTTCTTTAACATGGAGAGAAAGGATCCGGAAAAACTAGGCCACCAGTGAAATAACATACTCCAAGATGTGTGAACCAGCACTTGGAAACACTTCCAGATAAAATACCAGCATTTTTAAAAGCCTCAGATAATCACCAGGAAACAAGCTTCAGACTTCTCATTTAACAAGAGTAGAGCAATTACAGATTTCAAATTCTGAAGGCTTTTCTTCCTCCCTCAAACAAAAAAAGGCACTGACATTGAGCTCAGTGCCTCATGCATATTAGTGGGCATGCTATAATTTGAGCCATGCCTTTTTTTTAAACGTTGCTTACTGCTGCAAACCTCCTATAGCTGGGATAACAACAAGCACGTACCACTTTGTTCAGTCATTAGTTGAGTTGGATTTCAAGAATTTTTTTTTCTTTTTTGTTGCCTGTGGTGGTCTCAACTATAACAGAATGGTAATATCCTGATCCCCACCTTCCAAATAGCCAGAATTACAGGCTTAAGCCTCTGAGCCCCATTGGATTATCTTATATTTGAACTTGGATTTATCTAAGGATTTATTTTTGATACTTCTTTCTTGCATTATTATTATTTTTTGTCCTAGCAGTACTGAGATTTGAATTCAGGACATTTTACATGCTAGCTGGGCATCCTACCTTTGAACCATGCATCCTATTCTTTTTGCTATAATTATTTTTGAGATAGAATCTTACACACAATTGAAAGGGTTGGTAGGTGAAAAGAAATCCCTGCTTTGTCCAATAGGGCCAGAAAATGTCCGACATATCTACTGAAAGCAGAAGACACTATGCTCAAGTTAGAAAGTAAAGCCTAAGAATCCTAACAATTTTAGATCTGGAGATAGTTCTTAGGGTTATAAAGATAAATGTCATGTTTCCGCACCACAAGGAGATTACAGTTATGAGTGCTAGGGAAAATAAGTAACATGAAAGACAATTGACTGCAATTGGCTGTTTAAATTGTTTCATTGCATAACATTTAGAATGGCATTCCTTAGTTACACTAACCACATGTTTAGTGCATAGTAGCCATGTATGGTTAGAAAGTATCGTAGAAAGTGCTTTTGGACAGTGCTTAATAAGACCATTAAGCAAGAAAAATCAGAAGTAAACCAGACAGCTGAGCACCAATGGCTCATACTTGTCTTTTTTGTTGTTTTTATTATCTTTAAGTAGTTGTACAAAGGAGTTTCAATTCAACCTATCAGTTTATAATTACAGTGCATCTTGATCAATGTTATCCTGTCCATCATGCCATAATCTTAGCTGGGAAGGTGGCTCAGTGGTAGAGCGCTTGCCTTGCATGCATGAGGCCCTGGGTTCGATTCCTCAGCACCACATAAGCAAAAAGAAAAAAGCTGGAAGTGGCACTGTGGCTCAAGTGGTAGAGCGCTAGCTTTGAGCTAAAGAGCTGAGGGACAGCGCCCAGGCCCAGAGTTCAGGCCCCAAGACTAGACCCCCCCCCCCCAAAAAAAAAAAAAAAAAAAGAGTCTCACAGACTCTTTGAGTAGGTTGAGATCTCAGGATCTCAGTTTGAAGCCAGCTCAAGTAGAAAAACGCATGGGATTCTTAAATACAACTAACCAGCAAAAGGCCAAAACTGGGGACATAGCTCAAGGGATAGAACTTCAGTCATTAGTGAAAAAGTCAAGCAAGCTAGAGGCCCTGAGTTCAAGCCACAGTACCAGTAC